GCCGCAGTCCCCCCCACTCCTGCCTGCCCCCACTCCTGACCACACCCCCTCAGCGGTGCCCCCCACCCCACTGCCCCCCACTCCTGACCGCAGCCCCCCGCAATGGTGCCTCTCGCTCCCAACCCGCGCAGCCCCCGCGGCATGGCAGTTGGTCTCCATAACAATGTCGCTGTGGTTTGTGGTTGTCTTTTCCTATTTGCTGTCCGCTCCACAGAGGTGCAGAGAGAGAGAGAGAGATTTTTTTGAAGTATTTAATAAAAAAGGATCTGAGCTAGAAACCAGAGTAGCCAGGCGTCCGCACTCCCCTACCCCAGAGGACCCAGGCGTCCGGGCTCCAGCCCTTCCCTCTGCCCGTGTCCGTCCTTGCCTGTGCCCACCCCTGCCCCGCCTCCATCCACCCCTGTTGCTCCATGTCCCGTGATATTCTCTGTCTGCCATCCTTGCTCTGGTCCACTTGTCTGTGCATGCATCCACCCAGGCCATATACCAGCTCTGTCGGTCTGTCCATCCATCTCTGTCTCTCTCTTCTCCCAAAGACTTTTGCTCTTTCTTCCTGCCCCAGACCCGTGCATCTCCCTGTCTCCATCCCTCCATCCTTCTGTCCATCCGCTCCCACAAACACCCACTGTCTGGCCAGCACCCGCCCACCCCTCCCCAGACACCAGCACTACCGTCCCTCCCTCCCTCCCTCCATCCACACCTACCTAGCCATCCATCTGTTCACCTGTGCCTGGCTACACACCCCCAGACCCCGCTCCCTCCACCCAGTCGTCCAGCTGTCCAGCCACGGCTCTGTCCTTCCATGCGTCTTCTCCACTCAGCCATCCGTCTGCTTGTCCGTCCATCCACCCGTAGAGGTGTCTGTGCATCCATGCCACACTCCATCCATCCCCGCAGATTCCCATTTATTTGTCTGTCCACCCCTCCGTCCATCTGCCCATCCCATGTACCTGATTGATTGATCCATCAATCTATCTACCTATGTATCCGCCCCTACTGCATGCACCCCTTCCTCCATGCCTTCATCCATACCCACAGACCTCCTCCATCCATCTCTGGACCCATCCCTCCATCCATGTACCCCTTCAATCCATGCCGGGACCTATCCCTCCCCCCATCCATGCCTCCATTCTTCTGTGCACCCCTCTCTCCCTCCCCCCGCCCCAACGCCGCCTCCTTCTCCCTGGCCAGTAAACCCAACTTCCAGAAAACGCCTGTTTTGGTTCCCTTCCCCAAGACCCCTGATTCGTCCCTCAAAGCCCCACAGGCCTGGCAGGAAGTGACCTGCACCCCCCCCACCTCCCCTACAGTTTGTGTCCAGGCAGAAAGGGGCCTTTTGGGGCAATATTGGAAGGTTTTCATAGACTCACAGCATCCTAGGGCGGGAAGGGACCACAAAGGATCATCGGGCCCAGCCCCCGCACGAGCAGGGAAGTCAGCTGGGGTCAGCCGACCCCACCGGGTGCCCGTCCCGTCTCCTCTTGAAGACCTCTGGGTAGGCGGGTGCACCACCTCTGCGCGGAGCCTGTTGCACAGTCTGGACGCGCTGACTGAAGAAGTTTCTCCTAATGTTCAGCCTGAAACGGACTTCCAGGAGCTTGTGGCCATTGGTCCTAGTTTTCCCCAAGGCTGTCCCGGTGAGCAGAGTGGGGGCAGGGGGTTCTAGGTGTTTTGGGGGGAAATCCAGGGATTTGGGGGCAGAGACTGGGGTGGGGGGGATAGTTGGTTCCAATTCCAGCTCCCTTCAGGAACCAGTTGGCTCTGGGGTAGGTGAACGGGGCACCTAGTCTCCCTGGACGACTGGGCTCAGCTTCCTTGTGTGGTGAGTAGTGGTGTGAAAACCCCCACAGCGGTGCCCCCACTCTCAACCTGCAGCCCCCCCCAGAGTGGTGCCCCCCACTCCTGACCGCAGCCCCCCACAGCGGTGCCCCCACTCTCAACCTGCAGCCCCCCCCAGAGTGGTGCCCCCCACTCCTGACCGCAGCCCCCCACAGCGGTGCCCCCACTCTCAACCTGCAGCCCCCCCCAGAGTGGTGCCCCCCACTCCTGACCGCAGCCCCCCACAGCGGTGCCCCCACTCTCAACCTGCAGCCCCCCCCAGAGTGGTGCCCCCCACTCCTGACCGCAGCCCCCCACAGCGGTGCCCCCACTCTCAACCTGCAGCCCCCCCCAGAGTGGTGCCCCCCACTCCTGACCGCAGCCCCCCACAGCGGTGCCCCCACTCTCAACCTGCAGCCCCCCCCAGAGTGGTGCCCCCCACTCCTGACCGCAGCCCCCCACAGCGGTGCCCCCACTCTCAACCTGCAGCCCCCCCCAGAGTGGTGCCCCCCACTCCTGACCGCAGCCCCCCACAGCGGTGCCCCCACTCTCAACCTGCAGCCCCCCCCAGAGTGGTGCCCCCCACTCCTGACCGCAGCCCCCCACAGCGGTGCCCCCACTCTCAACCTGCAGCCCCCCCCAGAGTGGTGCCCCCCACTCCTGACCGCAGCCCCCCACAGCGGTGCCCCCACTCTCAACCTGCAGCCCCCCCCAGAGTGGTGCCCCCCACTCCTGACCGCAGCCCCCCACAGCGGTGCCCCCACTCTCAACCTGCAGCCCCCCCCAGAGTGGTGCCCCCCACTCCTGACCGCAGCCCCCCACAGCGGTGCCCCCACTCTCAACCTGCAGCCCCCCCCAGAGTGGTGCCCCCCACTCCTGACCGCAGCCCCCCACAGCGGTGCCCCCACTCTCAACCTGCAGCCCCCCCCAGAGTGGTGCCCCCCACTCCTGACCGCAGCCCCCCACAGCGGTGCCCCCACTCTCAACCTGCAGCCCCCCCCAGAGTGGTGCCCCCCACTCCTGACCGCAGCCCCCCACAGCGGTGCCCCCACTCTCAACCTGCAGCCCCCCCCAGAGTGGTGCCCCCCACTCCTGACCGCAGCCCCCCACAGCGGTGCCCCCACTCTCAACCTGCAGCCCCCCCCAGAGTGGTGCCCCCCACTCCTGACCGCAGCCCCCCACAGCGGTGCCCCCACTCTCAACCTGCAGCCCCCCCCAGAGTGGTGCCCCCCACTCCTGACCGCAGCCCCCCACAGCGGTGCCCCCACTCTCAACCTGCAGCCCCCCCCAGAGTGGTGCCCCCCACTCCTGACCGCAGCCCCCCACAGCGGTGCCCCCACTCTCAACCTGCAGCCCCCCCCAGAGTGGTGCCCCCCACTCCTGACCGCAGCCCCCCACAGCGGTGCCCCCACTCTCAACCTGCAGCCCCCCCCAGAGTGGTGCCCCCCACTCCTGACCGCAGCCCCCCACAGCGGTGCCCCCACTCTCAACCTGCAGCCCCCCCCAGAGTGGTGCCCCCCACTCCTGACCGCAGCCCCCCACAGCGGTGCCCCCACTCTCAACCTGCAGCCCCCCCCAGAGTGGTGCCCCCCACTCCTGACCGCAGCCCCCCACAGCGGTGCCCCCACTCTCAACCTGCAGCCCCCCCCAGAGTGGTGCCCCCCACTCCTGACCGCAGCCCCCCACAGCGGTGCCCCCACTCTCAACCTGCAGCCCCCCCCAGAGTGGTGCCCCCCACTCCTGACCGCAGCCCCCCACAGCGGTGCCCCCACTCTCAACCTGCAGCCCCCCCCAGAGTGGTGCCCCCCACTCCTGACCGCAGCCCCCCACAGCGGTGCCCCCACTCTCAACCTGCAGCCCCCCCCAGAGTGGTGCCCCCCACTCCTGACCGCAGCCCCCCACAGCGGTGCCCCCACTCTCAACCTGCAGCCCCCCCCAGAGTGGTGCCCCCCACTCCTGACCGCAGCCCCCCACAGCGGTGCCCCCACTCTCAACCTGCAGCCCCCCCCAGAGTGGTGCCCCCCACTCCTGACCACAGC